CCAGTCATGTGAACTATCCCACCATGTCTCTGCAACTGCAACGAGATCATGGCCCTGCGACCACACACAGATCTCCAATTCTTCCTGCTTATTCCCCATGCTGCGTGCATTGGTGTACAGGCACTTCAGAGAGCCAATCGAGCATGCAGGTTTCTCAGGAGAGGTGGAAGAGGATCCTCCATAGCCATGTCCCATACACACTCCCCTGGCTGCATGCACCCACTGGAGGAATCCTGACTTGAGTGGTGTTTTACTGACTACCCTGTCTCTATAACACTCCCCTTCCCCCATCTTGCCTAGTTTAAAGCCCTCCTTACCAGGCTGGCCAACCTGCTGGCAAAGACATGCGTGCCCCGCTTGGTGAGGTGGATCCCATCTCTCCCCATCAGCTGTCGGTCTTCAAACAGGGTCCCATGGTCATAGAAACCAAAACCCTGTTGCCAACACCAGCGACGCAGCCAGTTGTTAACTTGGAAAATCCATCTACTCCTCCTCCCGGCCTCCCCCCTCACTGGCAGGATGGAGGAGAAAGTGACCTGGGCTCCCAGACCCTTGACCATCATCCCCAGAGCTCTGAAGTCCTGTTTGAGGGTACCCAATTTGCCCTTGGTGTCATTAGTGCCCACATGGAAGAGCAGCAGAGGGTAATAGTCCAATGCGTGGACAAGCCTTGGCAGTCTTCCCATGACATCTCTTATTCGAGCCCCTGGCAGGCAGCAAACCTCTCTAGACAAGAGGTCAGGTCAGCAGAGAGGTGCCTCTGTCCCCTGCAGCAGGGAGTCACCCACAGCAATCACTCGCCGCTTCTGCTGGATGTTCCCACATGGCATGGGGTCTGCCAGGCCAGTTGCCTCCCTTGGAGCCATGCCCAGCTCCTCCTCAGCCTGGAGGACGCTAAACCTGTTCCTCAAAGGCAAGTCTTCAGGAAGAGCAAGAGCCTTTCTCCTCATACAAGAAGTGACCAGTTTCCAGCCTTCATCTTCTATGGAATCATGACTTACTGTTTCACATGGCACAGAGCCCACCCGCATCTCCACTGCTGTGGAGGATTGGTGAGACTCCTGAACCTGTAGGGTCTCTGAGAATATCCTATCTCTTGCTCATCTTCTCAGATGCCACATAGCCTGCTTACTTCCTCCCATAGCTCCTTGACCTGGCAATACAACTCATCAACCACAGCACACCTTCTGCAGGGGAAGCTGACTGTCAGCCCAGGCCTGACACCTGCAGGGCTGCATCCACTGCCAGAAGGTCTGTCTGGGTAGAAGCCTCTGACACAACAACTCCAACAGCTACTGGGGAACACACTCTGCAGCATGTCATAACCATACCCAAGGAAGCATACACTACTATGACTGGAGACAAAGGGGCCTTCTTGCACCCTGCTGCACAAACTGCTGCTTCTGTTCACTGCACTTCAGGAGCTGTGCTCTGGGCCTGGCTCTTATATAGGCCTCTCCCTAGCACTGACTCACAGGGTGCTTGACCCACCCTAATCAAGGGCCAGCTGGAACAAAGGCCCCAACTCCCTCTGATCAGGGGCAACCAACAGAGCTTGTTAGCAGCAGCTCCACCTAGCTAGAGCTTCCCAGGAGACATTAAGGTCTCCTGTAGCTGTCCTTGCCTAGCTCTTCTTCCCTGTCAGCAGCAAGCGCCCTCTAGTTCCTCAGAGGGTCCCCAGAAAGCCCCCCCAAGTTCCAACAAGGTGAAGACTATGAAGCCAACTTTTAAGCCAACTTTTTCACTTTGTTATAGTGACACCTGGTGTTGTAAGGGAGTTTCTTTGAGACAGAAAAATGAGGATGTGATTAAAAGGAAAACTAGAAAAGTTTCCTCATTCAGCGATTCATTGTATACCACTGGTGAGCAAATATAAACAGATGTAGTATTTTTAATGCAATAACTTATTTTATCCCTTTTTTCATTGTTCTACATCTATTAAGGGGAAATAAGAACTAATTTCTTTCTTTAGATTCTTAGTCTATATGAAGTCATACTTCTTAACACATTGTATGTAAAAATCACATGAAAGGCAGCAAAATCCAAGGGGCGAGGCATGAGACTGGGATTTGAGAGTTTTGGGTTTTGTTTGCTAGTCTCTTGCTTACTTTTCTCATGTGAAACCTTGTAGCTCAGGTGACTTTAGTGGAGTATCAAAGTACTCTGCAATTAAAAAGACAAAAAAAAAAGAAAAGTCAGAATAAGTCAAACATGAAGACTGGTAGACTAGCTTGACGTTAAGTCAGTTAGGAAAGATATATTTAACCACCAATATAGGTTACTCAAGATCAATAAATCAAGCTCTCTTGTAACAACTTACCTTTAGGAAGGGGCAAAGTAGTCCCAGTTGTAGAATAACATGACTCAGTGGTTTTGTCCTTAAAGCAGTAGCTTTCTGCAGACCAGAACTTTGCTCAATGATGTAACTAATATTAAACATAGCTTTAATTAATACAAACAAAAAAAGAAAAAGAAAAAAAAAGAAAAAGCCCATCAAGCTACAGAGCTAAAGCAGTGATAACACTATACTTTGTCATTGGGGAGACCTGGCTTCATTTCCAAGAATTGAATTCTTCATCTGAATTATTCTTTTGGGGTTATTGCCACTTAGGTCCAGGAGAATAAGTACATTATGGAATAGTTACTATCCATTACAAAGTTCTGTTTAAGTTGCTTTATTTTCCCATAAAATTAAGAATGCTCCAACAGCAACAATTTATTTAATTTCTTGGAGCCTGCTTGCAAAACTCATTAAACATGCTAGGGGGCAATAAACACTAACTTGTTCTCAGGCCAATTATCTTAAAGCAGCAGATTTATTATTAGGATTAATTACCATGCACATTACAGTGACAGCTGGAGTACGTGAAGATGAAAGGAGGCAGTTGCAGGCTGTGTGAACCTCTATATTTCCTTACTCACAAGACAAGTTCAGCACTGTGTTTATTTCAGTGAGAAGCTTTTTCTTCTTTTTTGGCCTCCAACTGGCATTTTGGACAGACCTGGCTTGGGCACCCTTCCTGACACCCTCAGCCATTTGGCAAAGGCCCTTCTCTCAGTTTAAAGATAAGAGGCATATACATTATCCCTCCTTTTGCACCACACACTGCATTCTCATTAATAGCAAGCGGGACTTCTCTGCACAGCGGGGGAACAATACATGCTTTTAATGCTAGCGGTCTGGCCTGTAACAGGCTAAGGGGGGCAGGAAACAACATGTCCAATGGGACACGTTTCTGATGTGCTCTGGGTGAGTGCTGCAGGCCTTTTTGTCCCAGTCAGCCAACTGCTAATGTGATTTTTAGAAGTAACGTCCACAGACAGCCATCATTGTTTGGCTTCCCCAGACCTCTCAGAAAAGTTGAAGCATGATGATGTGAATGGAGCAGCTAGTTGAACATAGTGATCCAAAATTTAATGCTTTCTTGATGCTGGGAGATCACAGTGTCAGTGCTATTTATACCGAAATGCAACTCAAGCTATTATGCAGACTGGAGAGCGTAGAAAACTTTGCACTGAAACACTGTAAAAGCGATAGATCTGAAGTTCCAATCACCACATACTTTTGAGATGGCTTAATCCTTGATGTTACGCTTTCCTAAAATGTGAAAATTCTAGCTTAATGCCATCAAATCTTTCTAGACATTTATGCCAAACTCGTCATTTGTATCAGTCTTTTAAGGGTGCAGGATTATAGCTTTATAACATAACAAACATATGCTGTCTTTTCTCCAAACAATGCAGGCACAAGCTTGTTCCATTTGAAATCACTGTCAGGTTTTTAACTAACTTATAATAAGAAAGATTGAGCTATTATTGAACAATTATTATCCTTAGAACATGAGATAATAGCCATGCCCAGAGAAAGACGTTTTTTAATCTTTGTCATGTAAGCAATAGCGAATTTGCTATTGCTAAAAGAATAGATTTAGTCTTATTTTATGGGTTCTGTTTTTCTATGGAATTGGAAGGTTTGGGGGCTTTTTACGCTACTCTACTATAATAAAAAACATTATAGGGGCCTTTTTTCCTTTCCCCATGACCTGTAGCCTCATTTTGTTTCACACACATCTCACAAATATCACCGCTTTGGAGCAAGCAGTTTGCTTTATGGTTCTGGCGGCAACTCTGTTGCTGCTACTGGGAATAACCCAGAGTAATCTATTGTTGCTATCAGTCAGAGGCTGTATCAGCTTTCGTTCAAGCCAGCAACTTCCACAGTGCAGAACCAGACTGTGGGACAAAGATAGAAAATGACCCTAAAAGGGACAAAATACCAAGGGGATAGACTAAGGTCTATGAGAAAAAGTAACTCAGACTGTCATAGATGTAGCTTGCAATTATTTATGTACTAAATGTTACAAGTTTCACTAATGCTACACATATTAATATGCAAACTATGGATACTCTTCATAGATTCTCTTCACACATTATGTCACATATGTTCACATAGGATTTGGGAAACAGCAAGCCAAGTGCTAGGGACAGGGCTGTGACAATCTTGAGAGTCAAAAATGCAAGCTGTCCTAAAGAGAGATTTCAAGTGGGTGCTACCATTCAGGAACACTAAAAATCCATGTATTTTTTGTACAAAAGCATTATCTTGCATGCTATAGCTATAAGAAAAACACAAAAATATTTGGTACTGCAATCAAAGCACATTAAGTTACGTGACTATGCCAGACCCTTCTAACTTGGATTTCTAAATCTATATCAAAGGAAATAGAGTTGGTACACGTATCTGAAAATCAGGCCAAATCTTAATGCGAAGAATGTAGTCTTCAGCCCCTTTTTTTCAGGTTCTCAAATTCAAGCCTTTTATCTATGACTAAATTATGGATCCTCTCCCTATTATTGCAAATAGCAGTTTTCTCATGGACTTCAGTAGGAAAAAAAGCAACTCCCTGTGTGATTTCATCTAAACTATTTTAGAGGCTCCAACAAGAAAATCTGCTACCTGAAATAATATACCAAGTACTTCATTTCTAATCTGTTAAAGCTGATTTGACCAAGAACATGATACCAATCCCTACACAGAATTACTTCACTTAAAATACTAGTTTATGCAACCATTCTGAGGGCAGGAACCCATCTTTTCATATTGACTATATATGATGAGTTATGAAACTTTCTTTTTTATATACAGCTTTTGTCCTTTTAATAGCTGTCAGATAAAAGGTAGGCAGAAGAATGAAGTGAAACAGATGTTGACAGTGTGCATGACCAGCTCATTAAACACCTGGATATTAAGAATGTCTTTCCATACTACTTATAAACCTTTACTCATTAACTCTGTAAGTTAGTCTGATGCTTCCTATAAGCAGAGGTAGATTTGCATTTTCTGCCAGAGTCCATTTATGTGAGAACTCCTGAACAAAGTAAAGGTATAATTATAGGGCTAGAGGGTTACCAGGTGGCTTATCTTTTGCTATCTGCTATTTTTTCCTCTATTTTCCTTGCTAATGCAATGATTTGCATCTCAGCATCCAAGCACATGCCCATTATAGGGAGAAAACAAATAATCCTTTTTTGAATTAACCAGTAGCCCTACAAACCTTCAGAGGCTTGTATTGCATTAGTAGTTTAGAGGAGTTAATCAATAGCCAGGACAAAAATAGAGGAGTCCAGCCCCATACAAAGCTAGAAGTAAATCAACTAGCAATGCTTTTTGTATGGCCTGATACTTCAGAAACATTTGATGATAGGATGTCTCAGAGATGCTTGTGAATGTTTAACAAAGAAAGTTATTATGCTAGGACTCAGCACCGCATCCATACTGGACTCTTCTCAGGCTGCAGTGAATCTGGACTCTCTTAGGAAATCCTCTTATGGGAATTTGTTTTTGCAGAAATCTTAATTTGTTCAAGTTAACAATGACAAGTTCTGACAGCACAAGCCTATGATAAGCATTTCCCCTTTTGAAGTGAGAATCATCTTGCATGCCTTATTTCCACATGCTGACAGTCTATTATGTAATTAATTACTGTCAGCATTGAGTCACACTAAATGAGAATTGATAACACTTGAAGGACAATCAGTTAACAGGAATCCAACTGTGTCAGCAGCATCACTGCATTTCCTTTATTCTTCATATGACTAATTATTAACATCTATCATTCTCTTCTCCAGGAATATATTAGGTAAGTGTTAGAAAAGGGAGCTAATTTAGCTCTCGCCCAGCTTAGCACTAGCGCCTAAAGTAGACGAAGCCTGCAGGCCGCAGGAGTGAGTTGTAAATGAGCTCGAGGGACATCGCTGAGGATGCGACTGCAAACCCAGCTAGAACCAGCCCTCAAGGACACAGCACACAACGGCCAGAGGTAACCGTCAACCTTGGGATAAGAGAAGGCACCGTGAAGCAGGAACACAGCAACCGTCCCGGGATGTAGACGTGAACCAATCCAGAGGAAAGAGACCACCGACTCAGTAAAGAAGATTGGGAGAGACTGTCACGGGCAGGTGGGGAAATTTCACTGTAAGGAGTATAATTGCCCCAAAATTTCTTTGTTTGGGGTCCCTCCCTGGAGGCACCCAGCTCGAGCTGTTACTTTGCTGTACCGTCATTTAAATAAAATAAATAAATAATTTTGCTGCTAGATGTATGTGAAACTGCCCCTCAGAAACCTAGGGTTGAACTGTTTCCATAACAGTAAGGACCAACAAGGTTCAGTTCAATTCCTGACTTTGTGAACCCCCCTTTCTTTCCCCCCCCCCCCATCAGTCATCCTAGGTAGAGCACTTAAACTGCATCTCAATGTCCTGCAGCCATGGTGATATTACTATTCCCCCTCTCTTAAGGCTTACAAATACAAATTCATTATTTTCTGTGAAAGAAAAGAAAAGGTAAAGACTTTTCAAATTCTCTAATAAAAAAAGTAAAAATCAAAAGACAATTCCTATTATGTAACTACCCAAAAGATTTTCTCAGAAATCTCTTATAAAACTTTTAATCTCCTTCCTTCTTTTCATTTTCTTATCTAAATAAGATTTTTATCTAAGACCAGGGTTTAAAGGGGTCCTGTCCCTGGATAATCCTCTGTTCAGCAAGTTCTTCACAAAGAACTTGAAATTCGCAACTATTAATTAAAGTCTTATGAAGACCAAACCTTACAGTCATTCCAAATATGTTCTAACTTCAGTCACAAATTAAACAATAAAATCTAAACTGTTCATTTTCTTTCCCTGTTAGAGCTGTCTCCAGAAAAATAAAAACTTCTTTTCTCTATAATAGCAAATGTACACAAACTCTCTTAAGTTAGCAATTTTGTGAGCTATAGTATGTGGTTTTAGTTGCAGCAGTCATTTCCAATAGCATATCTTTTAACCACAGTTAAGATCAAACACAGGGAAACCTTGCGAGAATTACCTCGTCTCACAGAGGCTAACGCTAGCCAGCCACCACTGTAGCTGTCCATCATCTAAGCATAGTTTTATCATCTGAAGTATTAACTGCCCAAGTAAACTCTGAACAGAGGATTCGTTACATGATGCAAAGACCTTGAGAGGATTTTTTCCTACTTTTTGAGCTTTGCTGTTACACGTTGCTTATCTGTGTGCCATTGCTCTTCCCTAGTATTGACAGGTTGTGTCACTGCTTTGATGAGAGAGCCCTTCCCCTTATTTTCAGATTATGCAGCTATTGCCAGTTCCATGACACATTTTCCTATCATTTCAGGATTTCCTCTCACCTTTGAGCAAAGGGCTAGACCATTACCAAATTTTCCCACCTGGAAGAATGTTTGCTTTACATTAGCCCTTGTTTAGTTTACTTCTGTTCACTAGTAACTGAATCATAAAATGACAGACTAAATGCAAACAGTAAATTGGCTTATGCATATTTTATGGTGCTCTATCCATTTTAAAGTGCTTTGTTCCTAAGGAGGAGATGCAATTTACCCTTTAATATTACAATAAAGTGTCTTATCCAAGTAAGAATTATTTGGCCTAGCCCCACTAACATCAATAGGCATTTCACTCTGGCTTCAGCAGAAGAAACTGAGGCTAATAACTCTTAATGATTCCTGTCACAGTTATTCAGAATATGGCATGAAGCACAACAGCTCCTAGGCAGTTTCCAAATATGCTTTATTAAAAGGGGAAGACAAAAGTACAGTACTGAAGGTGTGTAATCTAAGAGCTACTTACAGAATTACAATTTCTTCTTCCTTTCCACACTTAGCACAGACTCCTAGTTTAAAAGCACATGGTCAGCAAATAATAGGGTAAGGATCTTTTACAGCTTTCTGGAGGCATTTGACACTGTGAAGAGAAAGAAAACAGCATTAAAACTATTTGTAGGCACTTATTAAACATTCTATCTTCAAAGACAATATAGACAAACTACTGTATTCTTCTGAAGAGGCACTGTTACAGCCAGTTTCATATGAAACAATTGTTTTTGATGCTTATTAAAACACAAAGAGCATTGCCTGTTTTCCTTCTCCTTTAACTTTTTCAGAAATAATTTTTAAAACTAGAACTGAAAAAGAAACATAAAAAGTAAGAATTTTTATATTCGAAGTGGCAAAACACTAATCTTTCCATTCATTTCAACAGGCTGTTTTGCTTTAGAAGCTGCATAACTTTTTCCTCTGGCTTAACAATAAAAGAAAATCAGAATATAGTACAAAAAGGCACATGCACTTTACAAATAAAAGCTTTCAATCCAAACAATACAATGTCTTCCTCTTGAACTTCTCAGAATATAAACAAAGCCAGTGCTGGAGTTTGCTTTCTAGGAACATAAGTCTGCACAGAACTGTATTCTGTTCTGAAAAAGAACCAACCTAATTATGCAGAGATTTTTGGCTGTTCTTTTCAAGACATGATAAAATCCTGTATATTAAATCATTTCTAAATTGCTATGACTTAATATACACCTGATATTTTTAAAGCTTTGTATTTTTGGAGAGCAGATCCCAGAACAATATATCCCATGGTATATGGCTGGCCTAAAAGACACCCTTCCTTGGTTCTTTTGGCACTCGAGGTCTGTCAGAAAGGATTTAGCATACAGCTCTCAACAGTGGATTTGCAGACTTGGCTAAAACAAGCTGAAGACAAATGTCAAGTGTTTTTGTATGCCTTATAAGGAGAGACACACGAACTAGCATTTTGTGAAACAGAATTTTGACTTGCTTTCTCAAGTTCCGTTCCTGAGCACTTTTTCTCCCTACTATCTTCACCTAAGCTCTGCAGAGCTTTTATATTAAGATGCACATATCCAACTCCTTAAGAAACTGTGAATTCACAAGAACTGGGGGGCTGACCTGCTAGAAAGCAGCTCTGTGGAGAAGGACCTGGGAGTGCTGGTGGACAACAAGTTGACCATGAGGCAGCAGTGTGCCCTTGGGGCCAGGAAGGCCAAGGGTATCCTGGGCTGCATGAGGCAGAGTGTTGCCAGCAGGTCGAGGGAGGTGATCCTGCCCCTCTACTCAGCCCTGGGGAGGCCCCACCTGGAGTCCTGTGTCCAGTGCTGGGCTCCCCAGTGCAAGAGAGACATGGCACTCCTGGAGAGAGTCCAGCGGAGGGCTACTGAGATGATGAGGGGACTGGAACATCTCTCCTATGAGGAAAGGCTGAGGGAGCTGGGCCTGTTCAGCCTGGAGAAGAGAAGACTGAGGGGGGATCTCATCAATGTGTACAAGTATCTGAAGGGGGAGTGTCAAGAGGATGGGGCCAGACTCTTCTCCGTGGTGCCCAGGGACAGGACAAGAGGCAACGGGCACAAACTGAAACACAAGAAGGTCCATCTGAACATGAGAAAAACCTCTTTCCTGTGAGGGTGACTGAGCCCTGGCACAGGTTGCCCAGAGAGGTAGTGGAGTCTCCTTCCCTGGAGATATTCAAAAGCCATCTGGACATGGTCCTGGGCAATGTGCTCTAGAGGACCCTGCTTGAGCAGGGGGGTTGGACTAGATGATCTCCAGGGGTCCCTTCCAACCTCAACCGTTCTGTGATTCTGTTATACTTATTCAGGAGGCTTTTTTCCTTCTCTGCTCCTCAAAATTTTCTTTATCAATCATGTGTACAACCAAAAAATGTTTACTCTGGGAACCAGTGAGATTCCTGCTTAATCAGGAGTACAAGTTTTTTTTTTTACACAAGAGGATGAAATCATTTATTAAAATATATATATTTATTAGATATTGTTTCATATTAAAAAGTAAAACTTCTCACAAGTGTGGGAGATGGTATAGGCTGAGACTAAATATAAGATGGAAAAATGAAACTCAAAATTCATTTATGATGATTCCTAAGATCAGTAACAAAAAGAGCAGTTCCTAACCTCCCCTACCCATTGATCTTGAAATGACATCCAGTCTTGTATTAGAACTCACAACAGCCACATTGTGCTAACAGTCCTCCTTCATAATTAAGATACGTAGCAGATAAAAAGAAGAGGCCTTCATTAAGTTTTAAGATAAGTAATAAATACAGAGAATCTCCTCAAAAATCTAGACTCAGGGAATCACAGGGTGAGATAAAAATTGCACAGCAGTAAAAGCAAACTCTTCTCAGCATGAAATAGAATGATTGAGTAGGCAACACTGGTAATTACAGTTATTTAAGTTATTCTTCAGGAAGAAAGTTGTTTTTTTTAGAAGGCAGTCTCAAGCATATTAAATAAAATGTCTTATTAAATCACAAACATTTGTAATAGAAGCACATCACTTTTAAAAGAAAGTATGCTGTAAATGCTATGGTATTACTAATAAAAGAACAGGACACCAAATTAGATTGACTATGGAAAAAAAAACACATTTATATATGACTTAAGATCCTGATCCAGGCATACAGACTCCTGGACTTATCAACAAGATCAACTCTAGGACCCACAAGTCCTACTTAGAAACATGAAGAAACCACATATGATATCTGCTCAGTGGATAATGAATGAAAGAAAGACTACAGCTTTTAAGTTCTAATTTCCTCCTTCTAACAGGCACACGTACAGCACAGTCTCTTCCTCCCCTTCAGCAATTTCCTTTATTTTTTATTTGGTGTTGGCACTTTAAGCATGGAGTGGTATAGTTAATTATTGGCTCAACACAATAGAATATGAGAGACACTATGATTCTTACCATCCTTCTTTGGTTGTTGATTTAGAAAGTCGATAGAGAAGGATGGATTGTTGTAAAGTGAGAAAGTAGGAAGCATTTATCAAGTTTAACCTTAATTTGCATGTCTTTTAAGTTTATTTTGCTCAGAAAAAACATATGATTCTTAAATGTTACTATTACTGAAATAAGTTGATTTGTAATTTACTGCGATTTTTACACTAAATTCAGCATTTTCTTTTGACAAAAAGTAACACATCACTTTCAAAAGCAAAGCATGCTCCAAAAAGCAAAGTCAGTCATCCATAATTAAAGATTTGAATCAACTGATTTTTCAGAACTTTAGAATTCATAAAAGTACACATGAGAATGAGCTCTCCTAACAAGCAGGAAAAGAAACTTTCCTGCTTTCTCAGTTCTCACTCAGAATGACAAAGTTATTAATTAAAGCAAAGAAATCCCCCTGCTACTCACTTTTCCTGCTAATATTCACTTTTTAATATATTTTATATATTTTGTAAACTTTCATATATTCAATTTTTCTTTCACTCACTCAATAGCTTGCTTTCCTTTTAATAGTTTAAAAAAAAAAGTAAAAATAAACACAGACCTGAACAAAGGTTGTCAACTTTGTTTTTCTATTAAAAATTTTTTTACCCAGGTAATTAGCTCTCATACACGAAGATGTGGTAAGACTCATGGTCTGAAATGGACTTCTTGGCATAAGAACTACCTTGACAGATTAGAATTCTGTTTATCACAGTAGTTTCTTTATGGTTTTTACTCATTTCCCTGTTTTACTCAATAGTTCTTCTTCCCTCTCTCCCACTGCTGTACTTCCTCCAAGGACAACTCATGCTTACATTATTTCTATATATTCTCCACGGAAATGGCAATATACAATACAGACATATATACATAGTTTTGAAGTATACAGTCACAAAATATTCCATGTACACATTATATACACACTGCCAGGTCAACTGCATTAATGGAATAGCATCCTCTGTATGCCCAAGTAACCCAATATTAAGTCATTTAACGACCTGCCAACAGCAGTTCAGAATGTATTAAAATAAACACACACGCCTACACCTACTAACTTGGCACACAAAATAATCCCTAGCTTAAGCTAGCATTAAAGCATTCAAAAGCAAGATGTAATGATGAGGTTTCAAAGAAGCCTCACTGTCTGTTTGGAAGTTTCTAATTATTTGTGCACACGTGTATTTTAATTCACTGTATTAAAAGCAGAACTCTAACACTGAGGACCCATCAGTAGTCTGTTCTGCTGTAAATGACCGTGATGCCAATGCCATCCATAAACTTCCTTGGTAGAAGTGCGTGTGATATTGCTTCAGTCAACACGGCTCAATGCAGAATTTCTGAATAACCATGCCTCTCAGAAAAACAAAACTCCACTCATGAACACCAGAGTTTGATTACAAAGCAGATAAAGCAGAACAGTACAACACAGCAGACACCAAACCCCATAATACAAGATGGTAGCTTTTGGGGAGGGGGGTTCCAATAAACATTTCAGACTGAAATAAAGTCCCTTAAGGAACTTCACTTGCTCACATATTGTACCAGTATTACTTTAAATTCCATTTTCTACACAGATATTTCCTCATCTCTTTCTACAAAGAAATATATTTAACAATTTAACCCAAGCCTTAAAGTTTTCCTGACAGTTACTGGTTACTGGATAGCTATAAAGCTATTTAAGGCACTTTTGTGTTTTATTGCTATGGACTTTTACACATGTGAAACCAAAGTCTTTCTCTAAGATCAATTCCAAACGCCCACCTTGGAGATCAAGACGTTTAGCTTCGTTCAAACCAGTCAAGAACTTCATAACAACTGCCTTCTCCCAGAGCAGCCATGGATCTCAAAACATACAAAAGTAACCAGCAAGTGAATGTAGCGCACACTTGGAAGGACTGACAGTCAACTCCTATCCTCTTCCCCTCAAACAACTGAAAATAGATACTCACTGCAGAGTTAGGTTAGAGTCAAAAATAGATGCTGTGTTTGCTCCTATTCTCCATACAGGAAAGGCTGTAATTCACTTTAAACCCAGAATAACAGAGATGGCTAGAGAACAGACTTTAGCCTACTGACCTTCCCTACTACGCAGCAAGAATGCAAGCTAACCAATAGTCCAACACTGTTATCTGACAATTCCAGTTGG